AGGGCGTTGCTAAAATGTGAGGTGCAGCTTGCTGAACACATTTGAAGATTTATTGACAACAAGCCATACCTTGTGACATGTTGAATTGTGCACACGTTTGTGGAGCGAAATTCCATGTGAAAATATCTTCTCAAGGTTTTGAGCAGAATTTCGTTAACTTATATTATGAATCATATTTTCCTTGAGTAAATTTTATTGCCATATGAAATATTTGAGTTGATTGCTTGGCACCCCTCGTCTTTGAGGAAATAATCTTTTTAGGAGAAGTTGGTGTCTCTCCCAAGGAGGATGGGACCGAGGCCTGGACCAAACGCTGCTGGGCGGCAAGAGGCGTTCCGTCCACTTGGTGCCCGGCTCAGATGCAGCACACAACTGGCGGGTCATCGCTGACGTGCAGGCTCCAGCCAGGCCGAAAGGTATCTGGACCTTTACTGGTGCGCCGCCTCAGGCGCAGCCAAGCAGTCAATGGTTTCTCAAGTGCGGTGACCAACGCACGATTGAAATATCACTTTGGCGCAAGAGCACCGCGAGGCCTGTGTCTCTTCCCATGCGTGCGCCTGCTGTGGGTTACTAGAGCTAAGGACAAGGACTCCGCTAACGAAGGCACTAAGCCCACTGGAGAGCTAGAGACCCCTGGCAGTGGAGGAAACAACAGCCAAGCGGCCCCAACTGAAGTTGACGGATCTCTCCCCCAAAACTCCCAGGAAATTGACAGTGGCGAGAAACGCGATGGCAAAGCTGTTCCCTCTCCCACCAAGCCTCACAAGGCTTCTCGCATTGATCCTGCCAGCACGCCTCAGGAATCCGATTCGCTATAGGCCTGGGCGAGGTCAAGATGTGGGATGTAGGAGGATTCGGAGATTGCGGATTTCGTTGTCTGGCCGCGTCCCCAGTTAGACAAGGAGCCACGCCAGATAAGGTGCAGCCTAAGATAGGCAAGGTGGCTTTGTCCCTTAGGACTCGAGCTGCCGAATGGTTAGAAAGCAACCAGGGCGCCTGGGCGCTTGAGTTGTCCGCGGACTCGACGCGGACGCTGACTGTACGGAAAGAGACAGAGGGAGGCAGTATCCTTCAGGACGCCTCTCAGCTTGTCAACCAACGCCCGACTAAATGGTTGGACCCATGGATGCCATAGCTTCGGCGCGTGTCTTACAGGTTGAGGTTATCGTCTCCAAGCACGTGCGTGGAAAGTGGAAGTTTCTTGAAAGGGTGGCGCCAAGACAGAAGGTGAGCAACAACCCCATCGTGCTTTTTCTGAAGGACAAGCCTTTTCATTCTCCCTCCGTCGACCCCTCCGCCCGCCAAATGGGCCGAACTGGGTCTTGATGATAGTCAACCGGTGGCATCTCAGAGCTACCTAGGTGCAAACGAGAAAGGCCGCAAGGGGCCCGGCGTCATAGTGTCGGTTCAGAAGCGTCGCTGTGGCTAAGGCGGCGAAGGCCTGCTGCGGAAGCGCGATCGAGCACCGTGCCGGAGGTTCCGGCTCTCCCCGAGCAAAGGCCCTCTCCCGGAGGCTCTCCTCTGCGACCTCGTCCTGCAACTTCTACAGAGGCGTTCAGAAGGGCCAGTTGAGGATTTCAGGACGGGAAAAGGTGGCTTTTTCACTGCTGCTTGTACGAAGCCGTGTGTTTCAGAAAATCCTGAAGAGAAAGGGGATTCTGTGGGCTTTTCGGGTCGCTACGGGTCCGCGCAAGGGCCCTGAGCAAACGGCCTCTCCAGGCCGGGCTCGTTGGCCTCCCCTCTTCAGAGAGCTTTCCGAGTCTTCTGTTTGGGTTGCCCTGCTACACTGAGGCCGATGGGAAGTTTTGTGTTGAGACCAGGCCTGATACCGTAAGCGTCTCTGTAAGAAGACTCCGTGAGCTTGCGCTGCTGCGCCGTCTGCTTACTGTGGTCCCATGCACCCGCCGTTGGCCCCAGATAAAACGGCTCGTTGGTGGAGATGCGAAGAGCCAGGATGTGATTTCACGACCGCCCGCTGGCTAGAGGCTGTCGCTCTGCAGATAGTCTCCCCGAGATCCAGGCCCAGCTGGTGCCCGCGACTAGAGGCCCTCGGGTCCAATGTAAGATGGACTCTGCTACCAAGAAAAAGGTTAGAGAGCAGCGAAGCTTGCTAAAAAGAAGGCTTGTCAGGTTTGGAAGCATTCCGAGTCTTCGTCCTCTAGACCGCTTGCAGGGACGCACGGCATGCAGCTGACTAAAGTTGCGGCTCCTGCCACGGCCACCAAGCTGCTCTGGTGGGAATGCCCAATACCGGAATGCGACTCCCAGAATCGTGGGGCAGCAGGGTCACAGTCAGGCCAAGGATCTCCACATGCGTTAATGTGCATGGCATGGCCAAAGCTTTTCCTCTCACGAAGGCGGTGTCAGTGCAGAACACTCACTATCGTTTACAGAAGTCTCAGGAGGCCCAAAACCTTAAGTGGAAGGTTTTTGTTGAGGAGTTCAACAAGAAAAGATGGAAGGGCAGGTGGAGCCTTCGCTCTTCAAGCCTGCCAAGATCGTTCCCTGGCACAAGTGTATAAGGCCTGTGGCGTTTTGGTCAACCGCAGCTGGCTCCGGCATGCTCCTTGTTTGCAGCGCTCAATCACGGTAGCGGTTCAGTGTGGGTCCTAATTATGGTAGCTACTCAGGTATTCTAGGGCAACGGACTTGAATCTTGTCTGGTCGCGGGACGCAACAACTCCATGGAATCCTGGCTGTATGCTCGCTGTTGGCCAAACAATCAGAACGTAGTCGCCGCTACAGTGTCCCCGCTACAGTGTCACTAGTCACTAAAACTAGCCAGTCATAGCACACGGTCCTAGGTCCTAGGTCCTAGGTGCCAGGCAGGTCCCAGGTGTCACTTTTGCAAGTCCTGAGTTCGTAAAAATCGTAGAAACTCCTCCTGCCCATTGTGCAACCCGGGATGTTCGCAGGCGGTAGGAAAGCAGAGACCTGTGAAGGATACCAGGAAGGCTAAAACGGCAGCAGCTGACTCCTGACGGACAGTGCCTTCTCAGGCGTTGTCTCGCGGCCTCTGCAGGGGGCACGATGGACAGCGCGTCCAACCCATGAAAGCTGGCCATTTGAAATCAGAACATTTCCAACTGGAGCCAAAATGGGGAAGTGGTCCTGAAAACTGCCCTTGATGACAACGTCCAGGTCGTTTGCGCAAAATACCGCCCGTCGCTCAGGATGGGAAATGTACGCATCTCTCCGTAGAGGAGGGGTGGCCATTTGTGTTCGTGAGCCCCTTGGGTTTCCAACATCACAAGTGAGTGCGGCGCCCAGTTCCAGATCCTCAGAGCTACGGTTCATGGAGCTGCTACTCCCTTCACGTTATTTGCGGGTATCGGGTGCCGGATGAAGACACGAGGGGGCCTCTTGTCGTGACTGGGTTCCGTGCCTTGACGGAACCAGAGTCAACTTGATAGCCCCGTCCATGCTTTGCTCTCGGGTGAAAGAGCGAGCATTGCGGCAGTGGGCCGCCACCAACGTAGCTGCACCCCATTGACGCGATTTGGGCCAGTCACCGTTTACAGATCTCTCGCACTGCTGAACGTTGCTGCTGCACTCTTGAGGTGTCTTTCCAGAAAGGCCCACGGGCCTGGAGAGTGGCCAAAACAAGATGCAGGTCTGAAGCCTCTTGTGGGAGTGGTGAAGTGGTGAACAGGCCCCAGAGCCGCACTGGCCTTTAAGTGCCTGCAACCTCGAGGCCTCTCCCTCGGTCGAGGCTAAGTGGCTGCTCTGCTCTCAGGCGGCAGAGGAATGGCTAATTCTCTCGGGGCGCGCGCGCCTCAGTCGCGCAGTGAAAGGCCTCTTGGAAGCATGCCTAAACTACTCCCGGCAGTCATGCTGCTGGTCTTGCGCAGTCTCTTGAAGAGAGGCAGACCCGCAGAACTCTGCGGCGACTCACTGAGGCACATGTCCAATAAGCTTGAATAGGCTACGATGTTAATCCTGGCCTGGACAGAAAGATCACAAGGACACCTTCGGAGCCCGAGGAGCGACAGGCGGCAACTCAGGTCCCCCCAGGTTTCCTTGGTCCAAAAGAGACTCCGTGCCCAGCTTGCTAAGGGATAGGCTAAGGCTCCACTCTTTGTCAGGCGCCGCCTCTTGGATCAAAAGCGAAGGCCCTTGCCCGCAATGCCTTCAGAATGCTGAGGGTCAAGTTTTCAGCAACCGCCCCGCGGCGGCTGAGGCGTTAAGAGAACATTAGAGCACTATTTTCGGGGCCCATCAACCCGCTGAAGCAGAAGTATAGTGATTACCTCCGTTCTCGCTCCCCAGGCCCATCTCTCTCTCTCTCTCCGATATCTCAAGGCCTCCCTTAAGAAGATGAAGACAAAGCGGCAGGCTTGATGGATTCTCTCCTGATTGCCTGCTTTCGTTACCAGAGGCAGGACTCTCTCAACTTGCTGATTTCCTGAATCACTGCGAGACTGCGGGCTCTTGGCCAGCATGCCTGACTCAATGGAAGTTAATCTTCCTGCCCAACAGAATGTCGCCCCTTCTTCGGACGAGACCCGCCCAGCAGCCATAAGCTCGGCGATCTACCGAGCATGTCGATTATTAAGACTCCTCCAGATGGCAGGCCACCTTGCTCGTGCCCTCTGGCAATAGCAGGTGGGGTGGACCCCGAAGTTCTGCTGCTTGCAGCTGAGGCGGACTTCCCAAGGGAGACTCACAGCTACGCTGCGGCTCTGGACTATCGTAAAGCTTTTTCAATTCGTGTGACTATCCTCTCGCTTTAATAGGCCCTGTTTTTCCCCATGGGCGTGCCGGAAACAGTGCTCACTCTTCTAATACTGGTGTCACGTGCCCGGAGCCCATAAAGCTTAGCGCCGGGCTCCTCCAGGGAGATCCCTGGAGCCCCTTGGGCTTGGCGGCTGTCTTAGCATCACCGAAGCAAGATGCTGCAAGAAAAGCACCGGGCACGGCGCAGAGTGCCTCATGTACCTCGACGACAGTGTCCGCGTCTCAGGCTTCTCTTCGTGTCGCTCTTGACACCTGGGATCGAAGAACTTGCTCAGGTTTCGCGCATGAGACCGCACGAGGCTATAAGACCCAAGTTTGCTGTCGGAGCCCTAATTCTGCTGCGGCGGACGTGCTCCGAGCCTCGTTGCACCGTGGGTTCCTCGAACCGGCCTTTGACTCAGAAAGAGCAGAAACGGAACAGAGGATTCGCGATTTATGAGAAGCAGCTATTCTGCGAGAAGATGATTTCCGCGTGCTACCTGAACTCAGAGGATCTGAGCAAGTGGCAGAACGTGCATCACCACAGAACGATCGACGCCGAACGTTTCAGAGAGATTTGGATGGACGCCACGAAGCTCCATTTCGCCTCCGCAGTGGATGCAAACGCCTGGATTTGATCAGAAAGACGGCGAGCCATTGAAGAGGAGAACAGGC